GTGTTATGTAATGTAATGTTATGTTATGTTATGTTATGTTATGTTATGTTATGTTATGTTGTGTTATGTAATGTAATTTTATGTTATGTTATGTTATGTTATAGTATGTTATCTTATGTTATGCTTCTCTCTGTTCTGTTCTGTTCTGTTCTCTTCTGCTATGATGTTATGTTATGTTATGTTAAGCTGTGTTATGTAATGTTATGTTATGTTATGTTATGTTATGTTATGTCATGTTATGTTATCTCATGCTATGTTATGTTATGTTATGCTGTTTTATATTATGTTATGTTATGTTATTATTATGTTATGGTATTTTATGTTATGTTACATTACTTTGCATTGCATTATGTTACGCTACGTTCCGTTACAGTACAGTATAGTTGTATCATAGTTATTATCTTTAAAGAGCCGGGTTAAGTGGCCTGACTGAAATAGCAGAAATGTAATTGTAATAATAATAGATAACATTTGTATAGCGCAAATTCCCGCTCAACAGCAAGCTGTATGCGCTTCACAATCTATACTATTACCCCAGAAGACCCGAGAGCACTCTGAAACAACTTTAACTTCCTGGGAAACATACAGTGCAAGCGGCCTTTTATAGGCGCTAAAACACTAACATACTGACAAGATCTTTCGCTGTCTATTGCCGGGTTCCTATTTCCACCTGGGTGAAGTGAGGAAAATTTGTGTGAAGTGCCTTTCCCAAGGGCGCAACGCCGGGCCCGCGGCTCGAACCCCCGAACCCGCAACCTCACGCTTACGAGTCCGGTAGCCTAACCACTAGGCCACCGACGCCACAATGTTTACTCCTCTATCGACACAATTTGGAAATAAACGTCCGGGTGGTTGGCGGGTGCTCTGGTGTGGTTTGCTTCTTCTTTCCTATCAAATATCTATCATCTTTATCTCCCCTTCTTCTTTTTTAAATGTTTGTTACTCTCTTGTAACACCTCTATGCTGGCGCTCATATGACCTTATGCAGTTGCGAGCGCCGTAAAACCTCTGCTAAAACTAACAGCTCCTTAGTACTACTACACCACAGACTTCAGCGAAGCACGTAACCAATAAGCTTACATCTAGAGAAGGCCTGGGCTTACATCCGTAAACGTCCGCGAAGACATAGCTTGACGTCATTGCCAAAAAACAACAAGTGTCAAAAAGTTGATCATTTTATGTCACTCGATCCAGTTTAAAGACATCGGAATTTTCTCAAGGGCTAACAAAAACCCCCAAACCAAACAAACACAACCCCCTTTAAAAACAATAAAAACAACAAAACAAAGTAAAACAAAACAAAACGAAATACAAAGAAGCAAAGTCAGCAACATGTAGGCCAGGACATTAGACTTACAAAACGATTAGATATACACTCTCTGCGGGTCACTTTAAGGGAAATAATTTCTCCTCCTATTTTTTTTTTTTAAAAGATAAAAGAAAGGAAAAATAAACCAAAACAAATTAAACAGCATGGTCTAAAAATGCAATCGTTGTCTTGTGAAGACATGAGTGATGCTCGTTTTTTCCCCCAGGCATTTTAAGGACTATTGAAATATTAAAAACCCAGGTCGTAAAACGTTATGTCACGATTTGTGTTGGGAATTTTTTCTAATTAAACTTAAGTTTCACTTTTTTTTACATTACTTATGAAAACAAAACAACGACAAACATTACAGTAATGTAAGACATGTATTGACAGATCCATTCGCTTTTCTTACCGTTTTCGTATAATATTATTGTTATGTTTGCACAGCGTGTAGGGTACGCTGAGCGTGTGTGTGTGTTTTTTGTGTGTTAATGTATGTTTGAATGCGTGTGCTTGTGTGTATATGTGTGAATGCATAATAAGGTATGTGTACATGTTATGTGTGTATGTGTGTGTGTGTGTGTGTGT